TGGTTGTCACAGCAGGGACTCCTATCATGCCATCAGCTTTCTTGTCCCCAAATGTGTGAACTGCCTGAAAGACCAAGGTAATTGAAAAGCATGCATATACCTCGGGTTTCTCAGATATTAGGAGGAAATTGCCTCCTACTGCGGTTGCTTTCTGGCTCAGTGTTCTGAAAGAGAACAGGTCATTCCATTTCTAGCTGAAGTATTGAATCCATTTTAACTAGTCCATCAAGAAGAAAAGTCCTGGTACGCTGGTAGGTAGCTAGGATTAATGTGGTGGCTCAGTTCTGCTACTCCTGTACTAAGGAAGATCCAGTCTTTTTTTTTTTCCCCCTCTCTCTCTCCCTCCCTCTCTCTCTCTCTCCCTCTCTCTTCTTTTCATTTCTCTTCTCTCCTCTTGTGTCTCCTCCTCCTATCCTACCTCAGACAAAGAAAGAGTCATAGATACACTTGAAAGCCCTAAGTATATAGGATCTTCATTTATGTTTACGTTTATGATGACCACCTTCACTAGCTATTACGCCCATCTTACAAATAATCCAAATGCCTGTGGTAGGTCAGTATGTGTGCGGGTATGAGGGTGTAAGAAATATTGGTAGTACAGAAAAAATACAGAGCAAATGATAAATTGTGGGGTTGGTCCAAAAATATTGATAAATATACATACCTTAACCAAAAGCAAAAATAATTAACAGTCTCTGGTGAAGCTGTTTCAGGAAACACTGAGAAAACCAGCTGCTCAGCACCTGCAGCTCTGAACCGCTACTCACCAACAGGATGGGCTCGCAAGTCCCATGGGAAGCTGAGATTAGCCGTGACCTGCCCAGCTGAGGTGGGGGTTGTGGGGGGGGTGGACTTCAATCCAATGAGCCAGTCACCTGGCTTGTTGTTAGGAAACTCAGAGTTCCAGGGGACATTTGTCAGACATCCCCCTTGCCATTCCACATCCCCACCATACCCCACCTGAATACCAAGAGCCTGCCCTCTGTTTCAGGGAGATTACAGCCATCCTGGACTGTTGCTGCTGGGAGGGAAGCTCCAAACAGAGCAGTTAGGATGGGGCTCATTAAATCCCAGGGCATTGATAAACAGCACTTCAGTTGGTCAATTGTTAGGAAATGTGTGGAGTGTCACAAGAAGACCCAGTCCAGTGCAATTAGGAGAGCTTCCAAAGCAGCTTCTCTGCCCGGGTGACTCACAGGGTCCACTGAAATGGTGAGTGATGGCCGGTAGGATGTGACTGGGCTCCCATAGAGCTCCCTGCAGCTAGTTAATGCCGAGCCAATTCCCTCCTCTCCCTCTGTCCCCCAGTAGGTGCAGACAGCTTCCACTTCAGCATGTTCTGCCTTCTCCTCCAAGGCTAGATCCCAGCCTGGTGCCCCTCGCCTGGTCTGAGGCAGAGGGAGGGGCAGACAAGGGCATTCTCCCACTGCCTCTGTTTGCCTTGCGTCAGTTTTCATGACATAAACAGTCCTTCCAGCTTTCCTAAAGCCTTCTCCTTAGATGTTCAGGAACTCACTTTGGAAATCTCAAAGATTTTTAATGCTGTAAGTTACTTTCTTCCTGCAGCCCTGCTGCCATGATCCTAACTCTCATAGACAGTGGTGAATATCTCTGTCCAACTAGAGAGGAAGCCAAGGATAAGGATGTACAGAAAAGGAAAAAAACATGAAATTTAGTATTTCAAGACAGCATCTCTGTCCAATCTCATTCACTGGTCCCTGTTTAGCCACCAGTTATTCACTCATCCAGGATAGACCTGGAGGATATTATGCTAAATGAAATAAGCCAGACACAAAAAGATAAATACAGCATGATCTCACTTTATATAAGGTATCTAAAACAGTCAAACTCATGGAAACAGAGAGTAGAATGGTGGTTGCCTAGGGATAGGGGCAGGGAAAATGGGGAGGTGATGGTCAAAGTATATCAAGTTTCAGTTATACAAGATAAATGAGTTCTAGAGACCTCCTATACAACACAGTGCCTATAGCTAAAAATGTTGTAATGTATATTTAAATTTTCTGAGAGGAAAGATCTTATGTTAAGTGTTCTTTCTGTTCTTATCATGATAATAATAATAATTACAATGGGGGTGGGAGAGAACTTTGGGAGGTGATAGATATGTTTATGGTCTTGATGGTGGTGATGTTTTCACCCATGTATGCATGCGCGAGTGCCAAGTCGCTTCAGTCATGTCTGACTGTTTGGACTGTAGCCCACTGGGCTCCTCTGTCCATGGGATTCTCCAGGCAAGAATACTGGAGTGGGTTGCCATGCCCTCCTCCCAGGGATCTTCCTTACCCAGGGATCAAACCCATATCTCTTATGTCTCCTGCATTGGCAGGTGGGCTCTTTACCACTAGCACTACCTAGGAAGTTTCTCACAGATGTATACTTATCCCCAAACTCATGTACAGTTCTTTACATGTCAATCATACCTCAATAAAGTAATTTAAAATGTTTTAAATATAAAAAAGAGCACATTAGCCATTCTTCATGGCAAGATTCTTTAAAATTAAACACAGATTTTTTTTTTAATTCCAAAGAATGGTATCTTTAATGAGTTTTTAAATCATTGTCATTTAAAGTTTTATTAAAATGTATCAGAAAATACAGATATTATTTGTATATAAACACATATTTTAAAGCCCATTGAAGCCCACACATTTAACCTCCTACAGCTGCTATTTTGTTTTGATGAAAGATGAATAGGGGATAAATAGAAAGCTAATGCTTCAAATGGGTCTACCTGTAGAGTGCCTGGAAAAATCTAGGTGTGTATCCATATTAAAGAACACTCTTCACCCAAATATGCAATCACTCAATAGCTCAAGGATAAATGATGTTTCCTACCAAAAAAGAGAGAGAGAGAGAGAGGAGGAAGGCAAATTGCAGATCTTGAATTTGTCACATACTAAAGAAAAGCTCCAGAGAGAAGCCTGAATCGTATTTGTTCTCAGACAAGAAGGTAGAAGGCGCTCCTGTGGCCATCACGTAATGGATTCCACTTTGATGATGGGTGGTTCAACCCTCTGGTAAGATTAGGGATCTCCAGGTGTCCTGCCTGGGTCAACAGGGTGAAGCCTGGGATTACCATTTGGGATGGAATAATTGGATTCATCTTCCTCCACTCCAGGTCCCCTTTGTATTCGGTTTCACTGACTGAAGCCAGCCTCTCTAATCTTTATGTTTTCCTAATCAATTTGTAGAATGTATTCTGGCTCACGAGCGGAGTCAATCATACTTAAAAGAATCACAGAGCTTTGAAATTTCTCTAGCCTAACACTCTAATTTTCAGATTTAAAAAAAAAAAAAAAAAAGGCAAGGTCCAGAGAAGTACAAAACATCTGCAAAGGTTCATCAATATCCTTCAGACTGACATTTTTCAGAAAGAGAAGAGAAAGAAGATTTGAATTCAGGTTTGGGAGGACAAAGGACTGTGGGATTATGCAGGGGTACGAGTTGGAGGAAGGGGACACGGAGCGGGAGGAGAAAGAATGGGCCTTCGTGCTGGGAAGCCGTCTACAGCGCGGCTGGGCAGAGCTTTAGTTCAGCCACAGCGCCTGCGGGACGGCGAGCCGGCCCTCGGGCGCCCGGAACTACGCGGCCTCGGCGGCGCAGGGCCGGATGCTGCTGACGGAGATGCTCAGTCCCCTGCACCTCAGGACGCCGGCCTCGCACTCCGTCATCGTCTGCTCCCTGCCGTTCACCTCCACGCAGACGCTAAATCCTGCTTCCTCGCACTCCGAGGCGGCTCTGCAGACACATTCGCTGCCCTCGGCTGGAAAAAGAAGCGAGAGAGGCTTGATGGCACCTGGTGGAGGCGGGGGAGGCCTGGCGCATCCCCTCTAAAGTTATGCAAGTGGTGACTGGAGAGCTACGGGTCACCCACTCCCTGCCCCGCCCCTGGTGGCTCCGACGGTAAAGAATCTGCCTGTAATGCAGGAGACCCGGGTTCAATCCCTGGGTCAGGAAGATTCCCTGGAGTAGGGAATGGCAACCTGCTCCAGTATGCAGGACTGGGCAAGGGAGGCATTTTGCTCCAGAGTAAGCAGGTTCTGAGGCTGGTGCCAGGCTTCCTGTTGACTGGACGCCCGTGGGGCGGTTCTTTCCTTCAGGTGCTGCCCAGAGGGTCCCCAAACATGATGTGACCCCTCAACACCCAGACCGAAGGTGGAGACCTCAGCAAAGAGCTAGGCGGCAAGCCTCAAACAGAGGGAGACAAAGAAAAGGAGAATTAACTTGCTTTGAGAGAGAGGCCCTGAAACCCGAAAGGCCTTATACCCCATAAAGACCAAACAGAAACGAATGGGAAGGAAAGTGGTGTGGGCGCTGAAGGGGCGAGGCTGGAATACACCTGCCAGGCATCCCCCGAAGGAGGGTAACCAGGTCGGCCTGCAGACTGTGGTGACTGCCAAACCGAAAGTGATGCAGACACGGCCATGGAGTTGTATGTGTCACCGTCTCTGCTGCAGACGGGACAGGGGTGAGGGGAGAGGTGTCCGGGGGTACCAGCCAGGAGCGGGAGGCCCTGAGGAGCTGGTAGAGACCTTACAGATCCAGAAAGCACCATTAGGCTCCCAGATTTATAGATGGGGAAACTGAGGACCGTGACCTGGCTTGGGCAGCTCAGCTCTCCCCCCTCAGAGGTGGGACCCCTGGTGGTGGTTGTCAAGACCACTGTTAAGTGCTACCAGAACACCAGGACAGAAGGCCAGCAAGTGGTACCTCTTTTTCCATCACATCCTTCTGATTGCTTCTAGAAGAAAGTGTCAGCTTGACACTGGTGTGCTTCCAACATGCCCCTTTGTTATTGCTAGCTTGCTAGGTTGTGTCTGACTCTTTGCAACCCCATGGACCGTAGCCCGCCAGGGTCCTGGTACGAGTTGGAGGAAGGGGACACGGAGCGGGAGGAGAAAGAATGGGCCTTCGTGCTGGGAAGCCGTCTACAGCGCGGCTGGGCAGAGCTTTAGTCCAGCCACAGCGCCTGCGGGACGGCGAGCCGGCCCTCGGGCGCCCGGAACTACGCGGCCTCGGCGGCGCAGGGCCGGATGCTGCTGACGGAGATGCTCAGTCCCCTGCACCTCAGGACGCCGGCCTCGCACTCCGTCATCGTCTGCTCCCTGCCGTTCACCTCCACGCAGACGCTAAATCCTGCTTCCTCGCACTCCGAGGCGGCTCTGCAGACACATTCGCTGCCCTCGGCTGGAAAAAGAAGCGAGAGAGGCTTGATGGCACCTGGTGGAGGCGGGGGAGGCCTGGCGCATCCCCTCTAAAGTTATGCAAGTGGTGACTGGAGAGCTACGGGTCACCCACTCCCTGCCCCGCCCCTGGTGGCTCCGACGGTAAAGAATCTGCCTGTAATGCAGGAGACCCGGGTTCAATCCCTGGGTCAGGAAGATTCCCTGGAGCAGGGAATGGCAACCTGCTCCAGTATGCAGGACTGGGCAAGGGAGGCATTTTGCTCCAGAGTAAGCAGGTTCTGAGGCTGGTGCCAGGCTTCCTGTTGACTGGACCCCCGTGGGGCGGTTCTTTCCTTCAGGTGCTGCCCTGAGGGTCCCCAAACATGATGTGACCCCTCAACACCCAGACCGAAGGTGGAGACCTCAGCAAAGAGCTAGGCGGCAAACCTCAAACAGAGGGAGACAAAGAAAAGGAGAATTAACTTGCTTTGAGAGAGAGGCCCTGAAACCCGAAAGGCCTTATACCCCATAAAGACCAAACAGAAACGAATGGGAAGGAAAGTGGTGTGGGCGCTGAAGGGGCGAGGCTGGAATACACCGGCCAGGCATCCCCCGAAGGAGGGTAACCAGGTCGGCCTGCAGACTGTGGTGACTGCCAAACCGAAAGTGATGCAGACACGGCCATGGAGTTGTATGTGTCACCGTCTCTGCTGCAGACGGGACAGGGGTGAGGGGAGAGGTGTCCGGGGGTACCAGCCAGGAGCGGGAGGCCCTGAGGAGCTGGTAGAGACCTTACAGATCCAGAAAGCACCATTAGGCTCCCAGATTTATAGATGGCAAAACTGAGGACCGTGACCTGGCGTGAGCAGCTCAGCTCTCCCCCCTCAGAGGTGGGACCCCTGGTGGTGGTTGTCAAGACCACTGTTAAGTGCTACCAGAACACCAGGACAGAAGGCCAGCAAGTGGTACCTCTTTTTCCATCACATCCTTCTGATTGCTTCTAGAAGAAAGTGTCAGCTTGACACTGGTGTGCTTCCAACATGCCCCTTTGTTATTGCTAGCTTGCTAGGTTGTGTCTGACTCTTTGCAACCCCATGGACCGTAGCCCGCCAGGGTCCCTGTCCATGGGATTCTCCAGGCAAGAATACTGAAATGGGTTGCCATGCCCTCCTCCAGCGGATCTTCCCAACCCAGGGATCGAACCCTTGTCTCTTGCATTGCAGGCAGATTCTTTACCACTGAGCCACCTGGGAACACATTTTTATGGTTATCTAATATTTATGGTAAGTGATATTTCCTATTAAAGATGTGCTATTAAAAACTATTTTTATGTGAGTCTGTTTCCTTTTTTAATGAGTACATAATGTGGGTAATACAAGGACAGAGCACAAATCATGGGGGTGGAATGTGATCTTTGGGAGGACATTCAGACTAGCAGGGCTTCCCTGGTGGCTCAGACTAACAACTCCACCTACAATGCAGGCAACCTGGGTTCAATCCCTGGGTCAGGAAGATCCCCTGTAGAAGGAAATGGCAACCCACTCCAGCATTCTTGCCTAGAGAATTCCATGGACAGAGAAACCTGGCGGGCTACCATCCACAGGGTCTCAAAGAGTCGGACACGATTGAGTGACCCAACAATTTCAGCCTACCAGGAAGGATTCTTCATCCACCACTCCCCCTCCCCAGGGAAGGCAGCAGGGGAGGATCGTGGGGGTAGCAGGAGACTGGGGTTCGATCCCTGGGTCAGGAAGATCCCCTGCAGAAGGGAATGGCTACCCGCTCAAGTATGCAGGACCGGGCAAAGGAGGCATTTCGCTCCAGAGTAAGCAGGTTCTAAGCCTGATGCCAGGCTTCACACTCAGACCAGTCTGAGTCTTTGACATACTTAGGGATGTGCTTTCATCTGTTGCTAAAATAGCAAACTACATTTTTTTAAACTTCACTCCTACTACTGAAGTACTTTTATAATCACAAATATGAAATGTCCCTTACCGTCACATTTTTCCCATAGTGGACACACACCGCAAGCTTTTTCAGCTGGGGCAGGCAGAATGCAGCTCTCCCTACCAGCCACAGTGTAATTTCTACCCTGGCACCGGAGAACGTGCATCTTGCAAACGGTCAGAGGCAGTATCCTTTTGCTTCTCTCATCTCGAGCACATACATCCAAGGAGGACCTGAAATAAAATTTTTAAATTACTTCCTTTACAAAATTTTCTTTCCTCAAAGCTGAGAATGAGAAGTGAAAGGTGAGGCTGTGGGCTCAGTGCCTCAGATGTTGTCTCCCACAGCCAAATGAGGGGACAGAAACTCAAATCCCCCACATTGCTAGGGCCCAATCCCCTACAGTCTTCAAAATGAACATATTTTGCTCTTTAATGGCTCACAAGTTTTATAATCTTAGATATCTGGTGTCGATCTAGTTTCATTTAGAACGGATCAGATACAGCAAATTAAAAGAGAAGGCAATGGTCTGTTAGCAACAGCTGGTAGATTGATGACAAAGGAGGAGACAGAAAGTTAGCAAAGATCACCAGAGGAGGGCATGGCAACCCACTCCAGTATTCTTGCCTGGAGAATGCTATAGGCAGAGAAACCTGGTGGGCTACAGTCCATAGAGTGGCAGAGAGTCAGACTTAGCAACTGAAGCGACTTAGCACACACGCACAGACTCAGAGGGACCAAAGTCAAATGCGACCATGTATACCTATGGCTGATTCATGTTGAGGTTTGACAGAAAACAACTAAATTCTGTAAAGCAATTATCCTTCAATTAAAAAAATAAATAAATTTTGAAAAAATGGGACCACTAACTGCAGAAGAAAGCAGCTCTTCCCAGCCCAGCAGCCCTGAGAATTCACGTCCACATGATAGCATTATCCCCAGCCGATGACTAAATTCTCAAGGGAAGATGAATTCTATTTTTCAATGCTATTTTTAGAGTATCTATGTTTACAAAATAGTTTAGAAATATTTCCTTGAAATGTGTTACTTTTTTTTCTTATTCATTGGTGCTAAAATAGCGCCAGTATTTGAAATGTCACTAATAAAAACAACCACATATCTGAATACTGATGGGTAAGAATGCCATTACTGTAGTGAAACCTTAGACAACAAAAGGCATTTTTGAATAACAGACAGAATCTATATTTACTTACATATATTTAGCTCTAATGTTTTCTTCTCTAACCAAGAGCTAAATTTGTTTGGACAAAGAAATACAGAAATACATAACAGAAACAAATCCTTGTATCTTTTTTTAACCTGTCTATTTAAACTTTAAATAGAGGGGCTCAGAACAGCTTAAAGGGCAAAGACCTTACAAGCTACCTCCCTTGTTATCCGCGTACATTCAGTCGCTCAGTTGTGTCTGACTCTTTGCAGAGGAGCCCAGAGGACAGGCCTGTCTGTCCGTGGAATTTTCCAGGCAAGAATACTTGAGCAGATTGCCATTTCCTACTCCAGGGGATCTTGCCCACCCAGGGATCAAACTCATGTCTCTTGCATCTCCTGCATTGGCAGGTGGATTCTTTACCACTTGGGCCATCTGGGAAGCCCATATCTGACATTAAAACTCTTACCATGTATATAAACAACAGGCTGCAGATAAACTCAATGAAGCAAAGAAGTTGAAAAGAAGACGAAGGTGAATCAAAGTAAACAATGATTAATAGAGAATAACAGCACAGTCAGAAGATTCTGGGCTGACCTTTTTTTGTGTGTTTGTCTGCTTTTTCTCCTTTTTCTTTTTTTGCCATTTCCATTTATGTTATTCAGCTGTATATTCTCTTTCATACAAGAAGTTACTTCTTATAGGATACCCCTTAGTCATCACTACCCAATGTAGGTGTTCAAGGAGTTTGATATGTGTCTTGATGACCATCCTAACTGAAAGCCAAGCAATTGGCCAATAAATTTGTGTTTTGATGCTTAACCTTAGAGATTAAGAGATTTTGATTCTTAACCTTAGAGACTAAGTCCTAGGGACTGGATGTTGCCCATTTGCCTCTCCAGATTCACCCTCCTTTCCTGGGAATCTGAAGTGTATGAACCACATCAATAGACTTCCTGGTCCTCTAGCTTCAGGGGTGTTTGATCGTTGTGGGGTTCTGACAGAAAAGGAGGGAGGAAAGAGTACAGTTGGGGTCTTTATCCCCCTGGCTCACGCCTAGGCATCTCTGAAGCCCCTAAAATGAGAGACTCAATTCCTTCTCAACTAACCCTCTGTCAACAGGTTTTCATAAATGCTTCTCTCTCACAACTTCTGACTTAGGCATGGGAAAAAATGTAAACCAATTCAGTTCAGCTTCTACCCGTTCAGGAATACTGCGCTGTGGTGTGCAGTTTTCTTCACTCGACCCATTTCTGTAAATAGTCCCACCAATAAACCTCCTCTTGTCCTAATTTAATCATGCCATCTGTATCCAACATGTAGTAATTACTTCAGCTATATTTCTACAATGGAGTGATTTCAAGTGGGATGGTGTTCTTGGAATGCAAATCTAGAAACATATTTCAAGAATTAGAAAAGCAGCTGCTTTCTTCTCTGTTGGTACTGCTTTAAGAGTGTATGTCTCTGGGACTTCCCTGGTAGCTCAGTGGTAAAGAATCAGCCTGTCAATGCAAGAGAGACAGGTTCAGTCTCCAATCCAGGAAGATCCCACATGCTACGCATAACTAAGCCCATGCATCCCAACTATTGAGCTTGTGCTCTAGAGTCTGGGAGCCGAAACTGCTGAGCCTGTGCGCCCTAAAGGTCATGCTCTGCACCAGGAGAAGCCTTGGCAAAGAGCAACGCGTACACCGCAACTAGAGAGAAGCCCCGCTTGCAGCAAGGAAGACCCAGCACAGCCAAAAATAAATAAATAAAACTACTAAAAAAAAAAGTTTATGTCTCAAGGGAATTTCAGCCCTAATCTCCCCAAACTCTAAATCCTCGGTGAGGGTTCTGTCATTTTGTCCCATTTTATATAGAAAACAAGCAGCCTCAAGCAATCTTTCATTCTCACCAGCCAGACTAGAACACTGCCTGACACCACCAATGGTCAGCCCTGGTGATCCAGGCAAAACCAAGCAGCAAATGGACTGGACTGAAATGCAAAGGGCCTTGATCCTTGGTCAGTAACACCTTTGATCCAACAGAGACTAGCATCTAAGAAATCATTCAATCTATTTTCAATAAAATAAAACAGAGAAGAAAACAGAGCTTACCCACATTCATAGGGCATTTTACAAACACATCTTGAATTCTTTAGTTTCTCCCAGGGCTGACATTCAGGCACTTTCGGTGTCAAAGGCGCTTCTAAAAGAAAAGAATAATGGAGATGTGACCATTAGGAGAAGAGCTTCTTTTTAGTAAACAAGGATTATTTCAATTGTTGAACCAGGCAACAAATTCTTATAATCAATAAATTAATAAAGTTATAAAGCATTTTACAAGAGATATAGCGACACAGACCCAACAAAAAAATCTTTGGTCATAATAGCCACAATTTCTTGAGCACTGAGTGTTGGTCCTGCCCTTTTTATATGATATTAATTCTCCTTAATAAATTGCCATTTAAGAGAGATGAGGAAACAAAGAGTCAGAAAAGTTAAGAAATTCCTGCTAGTTAACAAATTGGCCAAGCCAGGATTTAAGTCCATGTTTGTCTGAAGTCCCACGGTATAGACTCCCTTTCTTCAAAAAGGTGGAGTTTAAAATATCATATTAAGAGTGTAGCACTGAAACATAAACATTACATATGTAAAATAGATAGCTAGCGGGAATTTGCCATATGATGCAGGTAGCTCAACCCGGTGCTCTGTGACAATCCTGAGGTATGGGATGGTGTGGGGAGTGGGAAGGAAGTTCAAGGGGAGGGGACATATACATACTTATGGCTGAATCACATTTTTTGTATAGCAGAAACCAATACATTGTAAAGCAATTATCCTCCAATTAAAAATTTTAAAAACGAAGGTGGGGTTTAAAATCCATGTGTTTATTTGGGTATGTTTTGCCTACTGTGCCTATCACAAGACAAAAAGCAGACCATAACCTGACCTATACAAGAAGAACTCTCATTATCTCAAGGATGACTATAATAATCTCCTACATGTAAATGTCCAAGTGGTCTCCCCTCAACAGTGAGTAAATGCCTGGAGGTATTCACATCGATAAAATCCTTTCCTTCATGTTTTCTACAAACTGATAGAAAGCCAATTACCATTCCAGTTTTGTCAGGGAAACACCTTGGTCCAACTTGCAAGAGCTTAATTTGCCATGGCCACAGCTAGGCCTGACTACAAAGGGAACAGTGTACACCACCTTGCCATTTCCACTTCCTGGCAGCTCCATTACAATGGAATTCTGTGGCATATAGTTTTTCATCATCAAACTAGTTACCTGTTAGATATACCTATAAAGGTCATTTGTCTGAAGGTCATGTTTTTATGGATGCACAAACTGTAGAATGCTTCCTTACTTTTGGAAAACTTAGGAGCTTTAGACATGACAGGAAAATCTCATGAACAAGGAAGTCATAAACATAAAAATGGTAGCAAGGTAAAGTATGTCTGTCATGTCCAGCATTGTCTGTAGCAAGTATTTATTCTTTAAGCATTTTTCTTTAAGATGGAATTATCTTAAATGCCATGCAGTATCCTGAATTGGATCCCAGATCATGAAAATGACATCCGTGGAAAAATGTGATGAATGAAGAGTCTGTAGTTTAGTTGACAGTGTTGTACTAATTAATATTAATGCCTTGGTTTTGACCAACTAAAATATGTCAAGGTATATGAGATGTTAATAGTATGGGAAGATGGGTAAAGGGTATATGGAAACTATACTTGCAACTTTTCTGAAATCTTAAATGGATTCCAAAATAAAATACTTTAATGGTATTAGTTAGATCAATGCTTCTCAACCAGGGACAGTTTTGCTCCCCAGGGGACATTGGGCAATGTCAAGAGGCATTTTCAGTTGTAACCCCTGTGGGATAGCAGAGACCAGGGATTCTGCCAAACATGTTACAATACATAGGACAGGCTCCCACAACAAAGAATTATCAGGTCCCAAAATTCCAATAGTGTCAGGGTTGAGAAAGTCTGATCTAAATGTACCCAAGCTGAAGTTCAATGATTAAGCTGTGTAAATGAATTCTGCATTATTATTAGAAGCTTTTTTGCTAATCATACTAAAGGATGGAATTTTAGATTTTACATATTTTCTAAAAGTTCTCGTAACTGCTTTGTGAAAAATCGCTTGTGGAATTACCTAGACAAGAGACTTGCATGTAGAAAGAACATGGCTTTGTCATCTTCATAGCTTAATTAACCAAGTAAACCCACTCTTAGGGCCCACCTACAGAATGTACCTTCACTATTTTAAAATCAAATATCTTCACATCAAGGGTAAATACCACTGGGGGTGGAGATAAATGAGAGACAAGTGTTTAACGGGTAGAGTTTCAGTTTAGGAAGATGGAATGTTGGATGACAGTGATGGTTGAACAATAATGGGAATGTATTTAATGCTACTGAATTGCACATTTTTAAATGGTTAAAATGGTAAATGTTGTGTGTATTTTACTACAATTTAAAAAAAGAAAGACTACTTAAACAGCAGGTATTTTAAAACTCTGGAGGCTAACAAACCTGGCCTTTTTTTGTTTGTTATAGGCTTATTTTAAGGGTAGTTATTATTGTTATCCACATCTTTCAAAAAATACACAGGTTTGGAAAACATCCTTAATTAAAGCCTTAATAGAATTTGCTGAGAGAAAATTCATACCAAATTGTGCTATAAAGTGACTGAAAAAGACATTTCAGAAAAAAAAAAAAGTATATAATCTCATTTAGAGGAAAAGAGAAACCTCATCAACTGTACATTGTTCTCTCTAATTTTAGCAATGTTGGTACAGGTCCCTTACTTTATCCCAAATAAATCGCAGTTCTGCTTCAGTGCGTGTGGAAAACGAAGCTGTCATCTCTGCTGAGTCCTTTGACAGCCACAGAGCATGTGGGATGGGCATGGAGGCCCTTCCACTGAACACGCTGCCCTGCTGTTGTCCTCTATTTGATACCACAGCCCAGGTCTCCCGTCAGCCATAGAACCCTCCAGCAACCTACTCTCTTTTCAGTTGTGCATATCTAATCTACCCAGTATCATTACTCATGGAATCAACTACTTCATCTTCACCATAGATGACAAACTTCAAACTGAAAGTTGCTCAGTCGTCTCTGACTCTTTGCAACCCCATGGACTGTAGCCCACCAGGCTCCTCTGTCCATGGTATTCTCCAAGCAAGAAGATTGGAGTGAGTTGCCGTTCCCCTCTCCATGGGATTTTCCCGACCCAGGGATTGAACAGAACTCTGCATTGCCAGGCGGATTCTTTATCATCTGAGTCACCATGGAATATTATTATTACTTATGGAATCAACTATTTCATCTTTGCCATAGAAGACAAACTTCAACATCAAATTAAAAATCATGTACTCATGTACAGCAAAAACCAATACAACATTGTAAAGCAATTATCCTCCAATTAAAAAAAATTTAAATCATATACTCAAGAAATAATATCATATAAAATAGAATGCAAGCATGATTTCTTCCTTGTTTTTAACTGTTGCAAGCATAATATTTTCCATTTATTAAAGTGAAAGTCACTCAATTGTGTCTGACTCTTTGCGACTCCATACAGTCCATGGAATTCTCCAGGCCAGAATACTGGAGTGGGTAGCAGTTCCCTTCTCCAGGGGATCTTCCCAACCTAGAGATTGAACCCAGGTCTCCCACATTGCAAGCAGATTATTTACCAGCTGAGCTACCAGGGAAGTCCATTTATTAGAAAATGTAAACAAAAAGAAAGAGGAGTTTATTTTGAAAACAAATCCAACCCATCTTAAGTATCTCTGAAAAGAAATAGTTTGGACCATTTTATACAACTGGATTTATTTACAAAACAGAAATGGAATCACAGATGTAGAAAACAAACCTATGGTTACCAGAAGGTAAAAGGGGAAGAGTTAAATTGGGAGGTTGGGATGGACATATACACATTACAATATATAAAATAGGTACTAATAAGGACTTACTGTATGGTACAGAAACTCTACTCAATACTCTATAAAGGCCTATATGGGCAAGGAATCTAAAAAAGAGTGGATACATGTATATGTATATTCATTTTGTTGTACACCTAACACAACATTATAAATCAACTATACTCCAATAAAAATTAAAAATATTTTAAAAGGCCATTTTAATTTGCCATGTGTTCAAAATATTGGCTATCTGGATTTCTACTATTAAGAATAATTTCACAAACCACAATACTTTTCCTTTCATAACTTCTGCTTTGCAGGCTTAAATGTAAATGCTTTTAAATATTCAATTTCAATAACACTAATAAACATTAAGAGCCTAAAAATGAAATAGGCAGAATTGTATATAAATTGTGGTCTCAACTCTGTATTTCATAAAAGTACATTTTTAAAAAGCCAGGAGGAAGCCAGAAATCAGCTTTTAGAAATTCTTTGTTTTCTTGGTATCCTACAAATATAAAACTAATCTTGGATATGAAGGATTTAAGTTAAAATTTGAGAATCACCTGGGCTATTCTTGCCTTTCCTTGAATTCTGTGAGTCTATGTGTTATGTGCAAAAACGTCTAGTTAGCCAGTCTACACCTCATTCTCATAGTGCAGTCTGGATGGAGGGAATGATTCCATTGCAGCAGGTCACTGCCTTGAAGAACGGCCACAGGAACTCTCACTCCCTGAGTCCACGTGTCCTTGGACAGACCCAGGAGCCACTCACCTCTCTGCACACACTGGACATTCTTTATCTCAGGGCTCCACTTAAGGCTGGAACTACAGAGAAATGTCGAAGGACCTTCTAAGGATCTGCCGCCTGAACAGGAAATGGTCACCTTCTCGCCAATGGTGTAGAAAGGTTTGTGGGGATGACTCTGTATGCCATCCATCAATGCAGGCAGAACGCAGGCAATTTCTGAAGAGAAAAGACAGCAGAATACAAGGTTCCTTGCTTTCTTAGACCATCTTTTTAAAAATGACAGCCCTGAATGGTGCTGATACACATGTTCTGCTTTTTCAAATTAGAGGACAAGGTAGAAGAGGTGAGTTCACTCTTAGGGGGCCCTGAAAGACATGTCCCACCATGCCTGTCATGTAGTGATGTAAACGACTGAAAACCAAAACAGCTCCCACCCTCTCACCCCTGCCCTCAAAGTCATATGACAACTTAAAATGAATAAGCATTATAAGGTCCCCAAGTCCAGCCTGCTGTCAAAACCAGACTTTTCACAGCTGCCATTTCTCTCTCTCATCTGGTGACATCTCACCAAAATTTTCCCAAGAGCCATGTTCATTTGCATATCATTGCATATATCCAATTAGATATTTTGCTATCTGAAATTTTTAAAGAAACACCTTTAACCTTGCAACCACAAAAGTGTTAAATCTTTCTTGGTTTCCCATTTCTATCTTTCCTTATTCTATTACAGTTATTAGTTCATATCTTCTACTTAAAAAAAAAAAAGGAAAAAAATTAAAAACATGCATAATGGTAGAAAGCAAGTCAGAATTCATGACTTAAAAAAAGAAAACACCTTTCTAGTGGGATTTTGGGCAATATCCTACAAGGTCCTGCTCTATTTCTGCACCATTTTTATCAGAAAATCCATTCATTCATTTATTCAAAATCAGCATTTATTGAGGGCCTACATTTGGCCAAGTATGTTGAATGCTGCTAAGGACACAAAATACTGGTCACATACTCTGCCTTGAAATAGCTAATAATCTAGTATCAGAACTGTTTATTTCTGGCCATGATACATTTGCTGGTTTCACATTAATGCTCCCTCTAAGACATATAGGAAGGCTGTAAAAGTTATAAGAAAAACTATTTCTGAGAGCATCAGAGAACAATCAGAGCAGTAGAAATCCCAAGGTATAAGACTCTAGAAAAAGGAAAGTCTAAAGCAGTGATTACAAAATTTGGTAATGATTTTGTCCTTGAGGCTATTTGTGAATTTGAAAAAAAAAAATTTTTTTTTTTTTTAATGTGCTGAAGGGCTGCTAAACTAAGGAGAAAGCTGCAGCTCAGAGGCTGAATAGCTGCAGAGTTTTTAGCAGTCTCACAGGGCTAGGAGATCAAAAATTACAGTCCAGTCCTGTTACAAAAGAGAAGCCTCAGTAGAAATCCAATACTTTCCCTTATGATCCCTTAATCGTTATAACCTAGGATAAAGATAAACTGGACATAAACCAGCCTTGTTCTTGCCAGAAACAAACCTAACTTTTTTCTAGAGAAGGATAACATCATGCAAAGTCTCAAATTATTTATTTTTTTACAAATAAAATCTGGCATTCAATCAAAGCTAATCTAATATTCAAAAATACAATAGAAATATCTACAGCAGATCCAGGTGATGGGGCTAATAGACATGAACCATGAAATAACTATGATTAGTATGTTTTAAAAAATTAAATTAAAAGAGGAAGAGTTTCAACAGAGAACTAGAAAGTATAGAAAAGTGGACAAAAGGTTTATCTGGAATTGGAAAATGAAATTAAGAATTCAGTAGAGCTCTTGAAAGCAGATTATAACAAGAGTACCTAAAATTAATAAACTAGAATATAGATCAACAGAACATACTTAGAATGAAACAGAAAGAGGAAAATTGATGTAAAGCAAAGAAATATAGGGAATTCGCTCATGGTCCAAGGCTTGAGACTCCATGCTTTCATTGCCATGGGCCTGGATTTGATCCCTGGTCAGGGAACTAAGGGGCTTCGGCTTCCCTGGTGGCTCAGATGGTAAAGAATCTGCCTGCAATGTGGGAGATCCAGGTTTGATCCATGGGTCAAGAAGATCCCCTAGAGAAGGGAATGGCAACACACTCCAGTATTCTTGCCTGGAAAATCCCATGGACAGAGGAGCCTAGCGGGCTACAGTCCATGGGGTCATAAACAGTTGGACACAACTGAGTGACTAACATTTTCACTTTCAAGTAACTAAGATCCCAAAATAAGCAAAAAAAGAAAGAAAAGTAGCACATACACACATATATATACACATATGTATATGTGTATACATTGTAAAAAATGTCTCATCTATGTCTCATGAGCAGAGGTGGGCAAGAATTAGACTGCAATATTTAAAAACAAAGGTGAATAATTTTCTAAAATTGACAAAAGACATTAAAGGATAGGTTAAAAACTGCCTTGAAGAGCAACCAGGACAAAGAAAATCACACTTAGGCATATCAGAGTAGAGTTGCTTCTAAAAAAAAAAAAATTCTTAGAAACATCTAGACCAAAACTGTATATTATTTCCAAAGGAGAAACAACAAACCTGAAAGTTGACTTCTTACTAGAAAATAATGAAGTCAGAAGGCAATGTAAAAAAATCTTTAAAGGGTTTAAAGACAATAACTGCTAACCTAGAATTCCTTACCCAGTAAAAATATCCTTCGAAAGTAAAGATAAAACAAGAATGTTTCAGATGAACAAAGAGTGGGACAATTCCTCACCAGCAGACACACAATAAAGAAAAAGGAGCTCTTCAAGCAAAGTAATCTTTTCAAAGAACCAACTTTTAGCTTTATTACTCCTAGCTAGGGAATATTGATTAATACATTCTATTCAGTAATATTGATATCCTATGTCTTCTGAAAAACTCTAGGGTGGAGAGACAGAGAGACGGAGACAAAGAAAACAGGAGACTTCCCAAGTCATTAAGAAAAAGGCTAACAAACCACCAGAAAAAAATGCCCAAAAGATTAGACAGCCACTTCATCATAAAAAGTATCCAAATGGCAATAAACATATGAAAACAGGCTTAACAACATTAGTCATCAGAAGAAATACAAATTTTAAAATACAAATTAAAAAACAAGATACTGCTACACACTCACCATTATGGCTAAAAAAATTTTTTAAAGATGGATGTTATCAAGTCTAACATCTGTATCACAGAGCAATCTTGACTTCTTGGATTCTGCCCAAGACGTAAATTGGTAAAACCACTTGGAAAACTGGTGTGGTGGTTTAGTCCCTAAGTCATGTCCGACTCTTGCAACCCCATGGACTGTAGTCTGCCAGGATCCTGTATCCACAGGATATCCCAGGCAAGAATACTGGAGTGGGTTGCCATTTCCTTCTCCAGGGGATCTTTCTGACCCAGGGATTGAATTCACATCTCCTGCATTATAAGTGGTCTCCTGGCCTGCAAGTGGATTCTTCACCAAAACTGGCAGCATACCAAATCTAAACGTGTGTACGCCTGATAACTCAGATATTTCACTAATAGGTGTGTACCCAAGAGAGTAAAATGTATGTGTGTGCACTCAGACTTTCCTCACATGGCACAGAACAATCAACATAGGAAAAATACATCCCAGTAGTGCTGTCTATCCATCTGCTGCAGAATCTTACATTGTAGTACAGCTGAGATGGAAACCAGAGAACAGTGTTAGGGGGATACAACGTGCAAAAGCACTTACTCAGATACCTACATCTAAACAGACTAGGATCCAAAGCATTTGAGGAAGTAGATTGTAGTAAATACCTGCTAATTGAACTCTGAAGAATGTCTTAAGTAGAACTGAGAACTGGTTAGAACTGAGTTCCCTGAGCTATTCTGATTTACCCCAGAAACTTTAAAATTGCAATTAGGATTTCTCTGGTGGTCTAGTAATTAAAATTCCAGTAGTCACATGCTGCCAATGCAAGCGATACTGGATTAGATCCCACATGCCATGTGGTGCAGCCAAAAAAAGATATGGGGGAAAAAAAGGAATAAAAATGTAGTAAAACATGCCTCAATTAACAGGACCACTAGCAACTAGAGAAAGCTGAGGATTTTTCAAAGTACTCCTAAAACCTGAATGGTATCATATGAGCCTTTCAGAAAGAAAAAGATCAAGACAAGAGCATACGATGAGTAGCTATTTATTCTGATTTATTCCCTTCCACTCATCTTAAATGAAATACCACAACCAAGACCACTCACTCTGACAATGCATTTTCCCAACAAGCCACTGCAAATCTTCTCCACATCTGGCAACAGGGTCTCCAACCAGAGAGTATCCTTCATTGCAAGTATACATTATGTTTTTCCCAACAGGAAATGTGGCACCTTCATCCTAAACAGAAATAAAAGATGGAAAGAGGAAGAATACATCTCTTTTGCATTAATAAATTGTTTCTTTAGATATATTCAGCCTATAAACCATGACTTCTTTAATCACTAGGCAACCTACATTCAAATAGCTCACTTTGAAAACTGTCCATAAAATCACTTTTTCCTGTACAGTCCTAATTAACAACACTGATAACCATCATTTATTGAAATAAAGATATTAATGTCACTGTACTATAATTCATTGACTGCTCCCCAAATGAAGCACTGTACTAAACATTTTATCAAAATTATTTTAGTGGATGCTGCCCAAGTAACTTCTCTTATACTTTCAGAAAAGTCTGTTATCAGATTTTAGGAATGTCTTTGTCAGTCAACTCTTCCTAGTGAGGTGTTATGGGCTGTCCACTGGCAATCACACCCAACAAAAGCCATTATGAACAGGGAGAAATGTTNGGGGGGGGCAAGAAAGGTCAAGTAATAATCCATTGTTCAGTTCCACTGGTGCCTGTGAGGTAGCCAGTCCACAGGACAGTGTTTAGAACCTGCAGTTCTTTACAGGACACCACATGCACAGAAGCTGAAGACAGCACATACACCTCTGAATAGTACCTACATTTGGGGAAATTTCAGCAAACGCTCAGTGAGTATATGTTTAAGGGCCTGGCATTTGAGAGACAGAAACTGTCATGGAGAAAGCCAGGCTGGTGGCATTGAGAAAATCCTGATGAACAGTAACTCCTATGTGAGCACAAAGAGACACTTACTGGGGTTTGGAGCCAAAGTCTCATCATAACAAGGAGTGAGAAGAACACAAATTAATATGGCCCCAAAGGCAAGAAAGTTCTCCAGAATGACAGTGGCAGATGACTTGTGTTCCTTCCTGAACAAGAAAATTGCTCCAAGTACAATGACCCATATCTCACCAGACACCAGCTAAATGTCTCACTGGCTCCTGGAGTAAATGGCATGCTTCACCCCAGCCCTGGTAGTTATGAAAAACTTTAAACAACTCCTTTCAGTGATAAAAATATGGAAAGTTCTCTATATTGAAAACCTTGCTTATAGATTCCTACTTTCATGTTCAGAATGGAAATGTTTAGCAGCCCTCTGGCATGATTACATTTCTAATTCATTGGGTGGTGATATTGATTTCCCTTACCGTAGAAGATACACTGCCTTCTGCAGAATTCTAATCACCTCGGGCCAAAGAAGAAAAGTCACAAACTAAAAGCCTCACCGATAAAAAACTAAAATGCACACATAAAACGTTTTTAGCACTGCTTCATCACAGGAGGAGGAAATAGATTATGAACATCAGTAGAGAGCTAGAACTTGGAGCAAAAAGGATATGTAAAGAAAAAACTCTCTTTCATAACCAACTTGAACAAATCCATCTTTCAAGGCAGGAGGTGACGAACAGAATTTTGTTGGAACCAAAGACAAGGGAAAGCAATGTGGTTCGAGCAATCTGAAAGGAAAAGGAAATAAAACATAATTAATGAGATGGATTTTCTACTGCTAATAAATATTTTACACTACAGTGAATTTTTCATTTGCATCTGAAGGGATTCCATCATGTAAGTAAGCTGATGTGATGTTTTTGCCATTCTCAGAACCAAACATCTGATCACATCCATGACAGAAGACCCAAACAGAAACTTGAGCTTCCAAAAGATAACAACCAGGTCAGTAGTGCAGAAAATAAGCATAAAGAAAAGAGAAAGAAAGAAAAGTGATTGGACAACACACATCTTTATATGACTTCTAGAGGACATCCATCTAACACTACTTTTTCTCCTGCTGTCTGTCTCTTAAATACTTTAAACACAAAACTACTTCTCTATTGAAAATAAGGCAATTCAAGTTCGTAATGCTGGAAGAGTGATAATACACAAAAACCACTTTTGACTGAGCGCTCGCTATGTGCTAAGCACCATGGCAGATGCTCTACAAATGTGCCTCAGCTCAATTCACGTGCACAGTGACCCCCTGAGATATGTGGGAAGAGTCTCAGAAAGTCTGAGTAACTTGTCCAAGGTTATAGAGTAAAAGATACCAGGACTAGATTCACATCTAGCCAGTTGTTGTTCAATCGCTCAATCATGTCCGACTCTTTGCAACCCCATGGACTATAGTACGCCAGGTTTTCCTGTCCTTCACCATCTCCCGAGGTTTGCTCAAACTCATGCCCATTGATGCCATCCAACCATCTCAGCCGCTGTAGGCTCCTGAAACTTAGGATCTTTCTACCTCTCACAAGGCAATCTCTAGCAGGGCCCAAAATAATTGAATTCAAGCAGGTCCCTGTGGGGCTCCCAGGCAGGGAGGCCTATTTTTGTCCCGTTTCTCACAGGCAAGATTCCAACCTCCATGACCTTCCCTAAGGGCAGATTTAAATAGTTGCTAATCAAGGGAAAAGCAACCAAGAAAACAGCTGAGGCCAGACTAAAGAGACCCATCACCGGAGATGAGATGAAGAGAGTGCAAGCTGGGTACACACCCTGATCTTGTCAGAGACCCCACCCTTGGACTTTTGTTATAAAACCCCCTCAGCAGATCCTCTGTGCTTGGGACACATAGTTTCTTGAGGCAGGAGCCTGCTATGTCCTCCTTTGCCTGGCACAGTAATAAAGCTATCCTTTTCTACTTCACCCAAAACACTGTCTCCGGGATTTAATTCGGCACCGGCACAGCGAGGCTGAGCTTTCGGCATCATACTCATGGTAACATTGACATTCATCATTAGGCAATGATTATCAGTGGTGCCTCTGAGGTCACTCTTCCACCAATATTAGCTCCACTCCAGAAACATGAAATCTGAAGGGAACCCTTACAAATAGCCTCTGAATGTCACCTCCTTCTGAGCTAAGTTCCTTATGTTCTTGTCACAACTGAGGAAACTCAGAAATGTGAAGCAGTAAGCATAATTTTCCTTTTTGTACTAAGGAGGAAGAGGATATTTTCTCTCTTCTGAGCACCAAGAAGAGTGAGAATTCTCTCAGAGCTTCCATAGGAGGCTCATGTCCATCCAGTTTTATGTCTGCGGGTGAGGAAACACACCCGCTGGGGCCAAGGCTCGCTCAGAGACCCTTGCCTTCCCAGAAATCTGTGCCCTGAATGCAGCTTTATCCTCCTTCCAGATTTCATATGTTTGCCAGCTGCCACAGCCAAGAGATGGGACTGCCCAGGTGGCACTAGTGGTAAAGAACCTGCCTGCCAGTGCAGGAGATATAAGAGGCACAGGTTCAATCCCTGGGTCGGGAAGATCCCCTGGAGGAGAGCATGGCAACACACTCCAGTATTCTTGCTGGAGAATCCCAAGACCTGGGAATAAGGCACCCCATTTCCCTATGCTAATACCACACACCCATGCATCTTACACTTTCATCAACTCACGTGACCTTCAAATTATCTTTGTAGAATGTTTGATAATCTCTGATCAGAAAAGGCTGATAAGGACAGTGTTAAAGAATAGGGTGTGCCATGAAGAATTCCAACCCAGGGGAACAATTCAGCAATGAAGCATTTTTAAGGATAGTTTTGGCAAGATCCTGACCAATAGGAAGCCGGTATCAGACAACTGGATTAATCAGTGAAGATGTTAGCCATCTCAAATATGTTCTTGATGCTTCATCCAAAGAAAATAAATAAGAGGGGGTGGTAAATCTGAAAATAATACAACTGTTATTGACTGCCTACTATGTGCCTGGCACTGTACTAATTACTTTGTGTTCTTAACCTCATTTAATTCTGACAACTTTCGGTTATCACTGTATCTACTATTTTTATCCTGATTTTAGGGGTGTGCAAGTAACTTGTTCAAGGTCTCAGAGCAGGAAGGTAGCAGATCTGCTTGACGCCAAAGCTGCTGCTCACATCCACTGAGCCAGACCACCTCCCAGTTCCCCAGCCTTTTATAACAGCTGCATCAGGAAAACTTGAAGCGCACACATGAGGACTTCCCAGGTGATGCTAGTGGTAAAGAGCCCTACTGCCAATGCAAAAGATACAGGTTCAGTCCCTGGGCCTGGAAGATCCCCTGGAGTAGGAAATACAAACCACTCCAGTATTCTTGCCTGGAGAATCCCCATGGACAGAGGGCTACAGTTCATAAGGTTGCAGAGTCAGACACAACTGTAATTGCCAGGAGGTCTGGTCTCCATTACCGCAAATGCTCCAGCTCCTCGTCTTCGCATTGCCTGGTTTCTGAGGTTTCTCCAATGCAGGATTTCCCACCCCCACTGGGAGGTGGGTTATTGCATTCTCGGCTCCTTGTTTTCTTCCCTTGAACACAGGGACCCCAAGAGGACCAGCAGTTCCACCCTCCATCCACCCCTCCTGCAAATAAGAAAGAGATTTTTTGGAGAGCACTTAGAGAGAAAGATTCCTGAGCTTAATACTAAGCTCTCTGCAAAGTGGTTATTGAGGGTGGCGACAATTCGGAGTGTACTCCCCTCACACTGTTCACTGAGGCCTTCCACCACGGCAGACAGTCCCTGCATGCTGACTAGGATTGTCCACATTAAGACTGCACTAACAAGCTTCTTGCAACAATACCTTAAATTTGTGTATTATTTTACAACTATTTTCAAAGCACTTCCACGTGCATTTTTTCATTCATTTACTTCTCACTAAAATGAATGGAGGTGGCCAAGAGGTCTGTTAACATTTTCATTTGATAGGCATGGAATCCAAGACTAAATGGTTAAATGCTACGTCCAGTGCTGTACTGGCAGCTGAGAGCCACATCCTGACTGTAACTCGGTCTTACAGCTGAATCCAGGTTCTTTTTTTATCACCTCACAGTCTCTCAATAAAGGCCCATAAGGTCCTATTGTTAAAGCAGTGATTGGGCCTGAGAAGAACATAGTCTTTTGGGTATCCAGGTTGCCAACCCTAGGGTTGGAACTGGATAACATGAGAAAATATGCAAGTAGGAGAAATGTGTCTACCTTCTGTCACAATCCTTCTTAACCTGCAGGCACCTCCTCACTCACTCTGGCCACCTTCCACCTCAGGGCTGGTTCCTGTCTCACAGTTTTTAGTATTTTCCCCATCATGGTCCTTGGGGGAGGTAAGAGAGAATTTGAAGCATATTCTAGGAACTTTTCTTTCCTAGTTAGAAACCAATCAGGAACCACCCCCTCAAAGCATTATTTTCTGCTAATAGAAGGGGTGTTTACTGCTCCTTAGCTATTTCTATTGCAGGACCTACATCCCTCTTCCCCTCTGGCCCCCAACACTCACTCCTCAGTATTGTACACAGCGAAACTAAAATAATTTGTATAATAATTTCCCCCAATCTTCCTTACTCTTTCTTCCACAGTTAGAAGTTGTGTGCATGTGTGTGCTTAGTCGCTCAGTCGTGTCCGACTCTTTGCGACCCCACGGAATGTAGCCCACCAGTCTCCTCAGTCCCTGGGGATTCTCCAGGCAAGAATACTGGAGTGGGTTGCCATGCCCTCATCCAGGGGATCTTCCCAACCCAGGGATCGAGCCCCAGTCTCCCACATTGCAGGCAGATTCTTTACATCTGAGCCCTCAGTATTAATAGTAGGTAATAAGAGCTTGATGATTTATGATTGCTACTCCATTCCTCACCAGCAGGGGGAGCTTCCAGTTTAGCAAATAGCTGTAAATCAAACCTTCGAAGGAATCAATCACAGAGGTGGTATTTTAATTTATCAAGACTGGTCAACTGGGAAGATGTTAGGAGGCAAAGATGCTTTCTTGATGCTTATCTGTAAGCAACCATGGTTTCGTCATCTATTCATTCATTTATCAAACATTTATTTATTAAGTGACCTTATGAATTAAGCCCTATGTCAGGCTCCAGGAATAAAGGAAGCAAACAGTTCTGACCTTAAGAAATGAGCTTTTGAGATTAAACAGCCACATAAATAAATATAAAAACAAGTATACACAAATCGTCTCATGCTTTGCCTACTCATAAAGTCAACTTCATGTTGACTTCAAGCACCAAATGCTCTGTTGAGCACACAGCTGTTGTTCAACAAATATTTGTGAATGAATGATTAATTGGTGGGGACATAATGGAAAATAGAAACAGTGGTGTTTCCAAAGGCTTGCCACCAGAAAGGTCAGTCAGTTCAGACGAAAGCTCTGTAGACCTAAGTTAAGACAAAACTTTACTGAGATGACCATGGAAGGATGGAACATGTTTCAGGTGATAAATCTATTCTAATAGAGAGTGAAGGATTGAAGGCAGGTCTATTAGTTCAAGGGCTTCCCTGGTGGCTCAGATGGTAAAGAATCTGCCTGCAATGCAGAAGACCTGGGTTCATTCCCTGGGTCAGAAAGATGCCCTGGAGAAGGGAATTGGCAACTCATTCCATTATTCTTGCCTGGAGAATCCCATGGACAGAGGAGCCTGGCAGGCTATGGTCCATGGGATCACAAAGAATTGGACACCGTGAAGCAACTAACAGTTTCTATTAGTTCAGATGGGGAAATCAGTGAGACAGCAAAGGGCCCTGACCCCATTAGCTATAATCTGGAGGTGGAATAGAGAGGGAGAGTCAGAGTCAAAACCTGATGAGACTTCCCCCATCCATCCATGAAGAAGCACAATCTCAGAGGCCAGAGGGAAAGTGGCCACCATAAATGCAGCACACTGACCTGCTTGATCCCCTAAGAGGACTCCTTGCTCACACGCCACACCAGACGTGTTTGGTTTGCAGTAACATTGACACCGGGTTCCCTGAACAGTGGCCATGCCACCGTTTTGACAAGGCCGGCAATGGCAGGGGTCAAATTCATCCAGATACTCCTCGAAGGCCCGTTTCAGGTACAGCTTTTTCACAGAGGCACAGGGTACTTCCTTGACCAGTTCATACAAAGGTGTTAGCTACACAGATAAAGACATCACATGGTCAGGAATCAGAGTTTTAGTAAGAATATTTTCCTTCCAGCATTTTGGCTCAGCCCTATGAAAACAAAATCAAAAGCCACTCATCTTCATTCCAACTATTTCTTGTTCAAATAAAAAAAGAAAGCAACCCACTTTCTTCACAAGACAAACCTAGGGAAAACTAGAACCAGATAAGGAAGGAATCTTTTTTGCATTTTGTGTGAATGCATAAAATTTTTTAAAACTGATAGGACCTTCATTTTTTAGTTATTAAAAGATTATTTTGAAGACCACACATTTCCACCCTTGCAAGATTCAGGTTCTCTTCAAGGTGATGTGCCACATTTGTTGTAGACTATGCATTTAACAATTTAACCTGTATACATCTGCAGCTGTTTTTATTGATGCCTGTCTTTTTTTTTTTTTTAATGAATGTCACAGATCAAGTTTTTGTGTGTTGTATTCCTAACACCATTTTCCCCATAAGCCCTGTGGTGTTTGTTGCACAGTTTTGCCTAACTCTCTGATTTTTAGGAACACATATGTTGTGTTATACAAGAACTGACTGTACCAATAAAACATCCTAAAATTCTGCCAGTCAAACTGATTCTATCTTTTTAGAACTAACCTGCATGACTCCAGAAACTGCTAAGCCATGGGCACAGTAAGAAAGATGATCTGACAAACCTAATACTAGACAAACCTAAGTACCTTCCTATTGAAAGAATCTGTAACTCCTCTGAATCAGGGACCAGGAAAGCATAACCAAAATTAGGTCAAATGCTAGAAATGCAAATTTTAGCATTAATTTCTCTTGGGATTTACAAGACATTTAACCTTTACAACTGAAATATGGACATACAGGATAATGAACCTTCTGTTTCCAATTATGTATGCATTCATTTCACTATACAAACCATAATTGGGATACAGAAAACACTAATTACAACCTTCTCTGTTTAACCACCTTGATTTAATCTCACTCTCCCAGTGCAAATAAACATGTCTACTTTCTGGTGCTTTCTTCTTTTTTTTTCTTTTTTTTTTTTTAGTTTTTTATTGGAGTACAGATGATTAACAATGTTGTAACAGTTTCAGATGCACAGCAAAGGGACTCAGCCCTACATAAACATGTCTCCATTCTCCCTCAAACTTCCCTCCCATCCAGGCCTCCACATAGCACTGGACATCACACACCTTTTGTTTTATGACTTCAGGAAGATCAGGTACAGATCCTGCCCAGCGAGAATAGCGTTGTTTGTTTCCAGCAGGATTGTCCAGGTCCAGGTAACTAAGGCCAGCAATTAAGCCAGGACGTCCCCCTCTGACAAATGGGACCCCTCGCAACACATTGTCCCCACTTTCTGCTCAAGGAAAAGTCAAATAAGTTCAGATGTGCAAACGAAATGAGAATGAGAAAACGAAATTGAAAGTCTGTCAAGTATTTTAACACAACCCTTTCAACTGTATGACATTCTGGGAAAGGAAAAACTATGGAGACAGTAAAAATACCTGTGATTGCCAAGCAGGAGGGATTTTTAAGATCCTTAAAGGATTTCTAGAGCAGTGAAATTGCTGTACATGAAACTATAATGGATTGTTATTGAGCTGCTGAGTCGTGTCTGATTCTTTTTCGATCCCATGGACTGCAGCCCGTCAGTCTCCTCGGTTCATGGGATTTCCCAGGCAAATATACTGAAGTGGGTTGCCGTTTCCTACTCCAGGGGATCTTCCCAATCCAGGGATGGAACCTATATCTCCTGCATTGGCATTCAGATTGTTTACCACGGAGTCACCAGGGAAACTCACTATGATGTTTACATGTCATTATGTATTTGCCCGAACCCACCGAGTATGCAGAACCCTCATGTAAACTATGGGCTTTGAGTGATTATTCTGTGCCGGTATGGGTTCATCGGCTGTAACAAATGGACCACTGTGGCCTGGATGTTCATAGTGGAGGAGGCTGTGCCCGTGGTTGGGGATATAGGGATTCTCTGTACTTTTTGCTCAATCACTTAGTGAACCTAAAATTACTGTAAAAACGGTATCTATTAAGAGAGAAAAGAAAACAGACACAATCATCACCTAATAGTAGATGATTATTAAGAGATTATTATTCATATTCTTAATGTTCTTAGTGTAATAAGAATATTTGTTATACAGGTGACTGTCTTGCTTCTTAGAAAATACATGTATATACTTAGGGATGAAACATCATGTTGTTTGAAACTTCCAAGTGGTTCAGCAAATATTCAAATATTTTAAATACATATTTTTGTATTGCTGACAGTCAACATTATAAATACTATACATAGATATATATATAAATATATCAAAATAATAATTATTACATATAAGGGATGGGTACATAGGTGTTTATTACTATGTTCTTTCAACATTTCTGTATGTTAGAAATTTTTCATAAGAAAATGTTGGGAGGGAAAGTTCACTGCATCTGGAATACTATAGTAAGCAAAATGCTTTTAATTAACAGGCTTACATTAACACATAAAAAGTGTTTTAAAAAACTCAAATACTAATCAAATCCCTTTTTTTTTTCATATCTGTGCCTTATAATTTCAGAAATATTTTCATCTCCTTGTGTAGCTGATTTCTACACTGATCATGACTGGAAATTCCTAACTTGCTGATCAGAGGTTGATTTTCATTTCCTTTTTTTAATCAAATTTTACAATTTCATCCAATTTTACAAATTAAAAAATTACAGTTTTATAATCAGAAGTTCATATTTTTAATAAAAATACCTGAGTGAGTCCTCATCTTCCTTGTTAGTTACATTTTTAATATACAAATAGAACCACTTTTAAAGCAATGTATTGCTAAGTTCAGTCCCTGAACTACCAGAATCACCTGGAACGACTGCAGATTTCTCATATCAGATGGATATCTAGAAGGAAATAGCTGGGAGAAAAGCCATGGCCTGAGCAGCTGATCAGGCTAACCAGGTAATCCTCATGCACACCAGAGTGTGACAATTACCACCTTAACTGATAAGCTTGTTTACAAAATACAGAGTATAAGAAATCAACTTTCATATTTATTTTTAAGCTTATAGCCTCTCTCTCTACACCTCAGTAAGCTCTCTGCTCAGCTGGCCCTCTTCCCCTATACAATAGGCCCCGGAAAACAGCAAAGGGTCCAGACTACGAAGCCAGACATTGGAATCTCAAGCCTGACACCAACTGTAGTCTTAGATAACCTCTCTGTGGCTTGTGCCCTTGTTGGTAAAATGGAGATATGGAATAATATCCAACTCTTAGGTGGAAGTATATTGGTTAATTCTTATAAATCACTTAAAATGGTGCTGGGCACATCGTAAGTGCTGTTTGTTAAGTCTGAAAGAAATAATAACACAAAATAAAATTGATGAGCCACTTCTGATCACCAACCCAGCTGATAGCTGATATTAACATCTTTTCAAAGCTCCCACTTTCATTTCTATTTCCAGATCATTGTATTTCCACATGTTCAACTACTTGTCCTTCTCTTTTGTCCTGTCTGATCTAAAAAGACAGGCTCTTTCTCTAGCGTGTTCACTGCTGCCTCACCAGTGCCTAGAACAATTTCTGCAGACACTATAGTTTCCATAAATAGTTGATGAATACAGTAAGTAAATGAGGAATTAAAGCCTGGCTTAACAGTGTCTCCTTCCTCCTTGCATTTATCTGCTAAAGAATCCTCACTTCCTTGATGAGGACCTTAGCACCTGCATCAGTCTTCTCCTTCATCCCAATTTCTGCCATCATCCCAAGAGAACTTGAGCCCCAATATCACTCCATGGCCTTACACATTTCATGGCACAGTCTCATTTCTATCCCTACCACACTAAAAATCTCTTCATGTTAGGCAATTAAGTCTTAATTGCCAAATCCAATGAAGAATCTTCAGACTTTCTCTTACTTAACTTCACTCTAGCACTTCTCACTATCAGCTTCTTCTCTACCTTCCATTTTACTCATCTCTTCTGGTTTTTATCCTATCAGATTATTCCCTTTCAATCCCTCTTGTTTCACTACAACTTTATATTTGTCATCTTTCATTTATTCGCTCCCTGTATTGAATCCTTTAATGGCATCCCTCGCCATCAGGATGAAACCCAAACTCCCTGACACAGTGTCTAGACAGTCTAGACAGTCTTACCCTTCCAGTTCCTTCTTCAATCACTCAAAGACTAACACACCACCTCCCCTACTCTGCCACCACCATCACCAAATCTTTGGTGATGCTGCACTGAACATCCATGTTACAGAGAGGCACTGAAGCGTCCCCTCTTGGTGTCATTTTTCTAGACTGGTTTGCCAACCATCCTCACAGGAGACAGGGGTGGTGTACACAGAGGACATAGTTACAGTACACAGGACATACTCAGCGAACCTTCTGTTCTGCATGATGGATCACTGCCATGACATCCGGCAGAAAGATCACAGGTACAATAGCCAAGTGTTTGAAAAACGCAAAATAGAATGCCTGCTGAAATGTCAAAGTCCCTTGGAGACCAGGAATTAACCACAAGGGGGATAGAGGTAAACTTGTAATGAAAATTACCCGCTTCTCATTTACCTGAAACCGATTTTAAGGCATCATCCATCGTTGTGCATTTTTGTTTTGATAATGTAAACAAAAACTGGAAATGTGAGGAAGCACAATTCCTCTTATCCTCTGAATGGAAATCTGGGGGGAAAAATTTTAAACATGCTTAGTTTCCACATTTGTTGAAAATCTCCTTTGAGATGCCAGGTGTGAGAGTGGGAGAAGAGGTTGTTTCCTACCACTGTGGCCATATAATCAAAAATGATATGATGTGTGTATTTTCAAGTGCTCTAGGAGGATCAAGGGTCAGAAAAAGCAATATTTGATCTTTGTTATAAACAAAATAAGATACATGCATATATTTAGGGATAAGGCATCAACTGTCTGTCTCACTTTCAAATGATTCAGCCAATATTGACTTCTAATGTCTTTGACCAGAGGGTGGGGTTACATGGATGATTTCTATATGAAATAGTGGAGGGAACTAAAATTGAACACCTCAGAGTTTAATATCTTTCACCCAACCATAGTCAGCTTCTCAGGCACAAGGCAAATAGGTAAAAATCAATATGCAATGGCCTCCAGCCCACCTACTGGAGATGCCAAAAACTGGGTGTGGTTCTACAGTAATTAATTCCTAAAACCCTAGTTCTAGTGCCTCAGTCTCTCCATCTTTAACATCTCTGGTTTCTACATTTTCTTCCAATGACATCTTAGATGGTTATAATTTCTATTCATTATCAATTGGAATTTTGCTGATGTAATTTTTAAAAAGAGGATAGAAAATAATAAAGAATAGAAATACATTTTTAATATAATTTTACTAACAATATTATAATAAACACTATTTCTTAAAGAACACTTGTGTGTATCATATCCCAGGAGTCTTGATTAATTTCAATTAAAACTTTTGGGAGGAACAGAAACTGCTCAGGTAAAATTTTTACTCAAAATTTTTACCAACTCAGAAGGCTTTTTTTAAAATCCTCTTCGTTTCTTTTAAGTGTTAAAGAAAAAAAAATGATCATGAAACTGAGTTTAGATCAAGCCATTTTCTGGATTAATTCCCCAAAGAAATATTGCCTCTGATGTTGCTACAAAAACCTGTACTTGTGCATTCATTTCCAACCTGTTGAGGTTGGAGAAGTTCACATATGTTGAATCATAATTGGTAAAAAAAAATTTAGCCCTGGGGGGAAAATAGTCAATGGAAACAGAAAATATTGTGGTTTACCCACAAGACAAGGCTATATTCCTCCTCTGAATCTCATCTGAAAAGTCTTACTCTCCTCCAAAGTGGTAAGAAAGTCTTGACTGAAGAATAAGGCACTGAAGAGGTGAATTTGGATAGAGAAGCAAGTGTGGCCATGAGCTTCAGGACAAAACTGGGAAGAAGTTTGGACTTGGCCCATAAATAAGTGAAACTGCTCAGTCGTGTCCGACTCTTTGGGACCCCATGGACTGTAGCCTACCAGGCTTCTCCATCCATGGGATTTTTCAGGCAAGAGTACTGGAGTGGGTTGCCATTTCCTTCTCCAGGGGATCTTCCCGACTCAGGGATCGAACCCAGGTCTCCCGCATTGTAGGCAGACGCTTTACCCTCTGAGCCACCAGCCAGGGCCAAAAGGTCTTTGGAGAGGAGGAACAGATCTTAAGACTCACATGCTCCTCCAACATTGCGGTAGCTGGTGAGGAATATCCTCTCACTGTGGAATCAACCAAGCATGAGCTCAGTAGTGTGCCCAGTTTCTAACAAGAATCAGGCAATTCCAGCAGCAACATAACATAAGGATAAAGCTAAGCTGATGCTGGAGCCAGTTAGACCTCCTTACAATCTATATGCTTTGAGATGAGTCTCTTCACAGCGCTGAGTCTCCATTTCTCAGCCTGTGGTGCAGGAGCCATAGTGGACATCTCACTGGGTAGCAGTGAGGACCATTGCTGACATAGACAACTCACCTGTTGAGAAGGAATCAATAAATTTAGGCTATTGTTACAAGTCTTAGGTAGTAAACAAACTTGTGATATTCAGAGCAGATTTGTTTTTAAAGGCATGTGAGTGGTAAAGAACAGAGGCAAATAAAAAAAATTCATTGAAATATTTTGATTTCTGCAATATTAGTAAAATCCTCATCAGTTTTCCTCAAGGAATATTAATTAATCTGAGAAATGGGGAGATCAAAAAGTATTATAAAAAGCCAATCAACATCCTCTAGAGATAACAACAATGGTAACGACTTAACTCTCATTTCAGGATACTATCCAAAAGAGTAGGCAAGCTTTTTCTTAAGGCCTGGAAGGTTTTGTGTGGAGTATAATGGATTAATACAATTTTGGATTCCTTTGCAATTTAACCACTATTTTGTCATATTTTAAAGCTCTAAAGTTTAAGTTAACTATAGGTTATTCCCCCATTAAAATCCTTGCAATGCTTATATATAGCAATGTTTTTAATACTCTACCAAATTTTTTGACTTTTTCTGAGTCCATATAAAAGATAACTTTGTATTCTCCTCCTAAGGACCCAGACTGAAGATAATGTGTCCCATACTGGTCAATCAATCTTCGGTAGGCGCTGTAGTCATACAGAGAGGGAAGGTAAGAGAGTTCCTTCCAGAATGACTCAGCCAGTTGTAAAAATTCCGGATTGTTATTGATAAACTGAGCCACTTCAACAGTGTTCCGAAGAACCAACAATTGATAACTCTATAGGAAGAAGAAAGAGTAAAAGGCGTTTTAGGTTGAAGATTAAAAGGCAGTGGAAATATTTTCTGGTCCAATGTCTCCATCAACAGTCACATACATTAATGCAGACTTTATGAATTTTTGTTTTTGAAGCATAGCGAGGTCTCTTCTGAACACATCCACTTGAAGCAATCTAAGGAATTTTTGGAATCTCAAACAGGAATAATATCTGAGTGATGACTTCATAACTTGTTTTATAGCTAACTTTTAAAACCCCAAGACAAAATTGTTATGCCCTCCTCAACTAGCAAAAAGGAATCAGCATCATTAACTACTAAATAATCTCACAATTAGGGATATAATGTCCTTAAAGTCCACATCTTGACAATGACTTTATCAGTAGGGTGATCATCTAATTTACCTTTCATAGTGGGGTATTTACAGGGTAAGCCACTTTATAATGAGATCTTTTAAACCCTTCCTAGGCATCTTTTCATGATATCCAAGACAGAGTTAACTCACACCAAATTCTCACTTATATGAATAATATAATATGAATATGATAAATGTTTTTACACTCATATTTCCACTTAGTCATAAAACAAACAATATCTATATTCCTTTATACCTTGCTTATGTGATTTATTTATCAAGTTACTGACTTTAAGAATGAGATGAATTGTGCATATTATGAATGATAATCAGCCTGAAAAATCCTTCAGCACTAAGTATGTATCAATAAGTACAATTCATCTCAACTGTTCAGGTTGCCCGTGACGAAAGTCTTAGTATCTCAAAACAATAGAATATCTAAAGTTAAGTCTTTTAACTCCTCAGATGAAAATGTTGGTCTCTCCAAAGTAATAAGGTATATTAACATCTTTTATTGTAATACACCTCTTTGAAAAACTCTAGTATTAGTGTTTCAGAGCACATCTTCATTGGATTTTTGAAATTGTATATAACACCTATAGCACCATCAGTAATCATGAATTAGAAATTTAGGCTAGTTTTAACTAGAAGATTTTAAAGTTATAAGTTTTTTTAGATTTTTAAATAAGAACAAGTAATGAGAAAATAAAAAGTGTAAATAAATACAATATGAAAGAGAATTAACAAGACAAAAGCTATACCTTTTAAAGAAGTATATTGGATTATCTCTTTGAAGAAGATACTATGC